CACTAAAAAATGTTTTTAACTCCCTACACCCCTTGAAATCCTTATAACTAAACCCTAATAGAACATAATTAATCCAAATATAAATAATATAAAAATAAAATAATTTTTTTTAAAATAATATTTTTGTAAACATTTCAAAAATATTGCATTTTTATAAAATAGCACTTAAAATGGCATTTTTTGAAATTTCTCTATAAACAAATATGTCGAAATCATTCCACTAGAAACAGGCAATATTGAAAATTTGAAATTGTGCGTTAATTTGATTTTGGTGGTCGGTGTATGAGACAAGTCAATAAAGCCACTAGTACATTTCATCGCACACACTTTCTGACATTTTTTTTCATTTCACATTGCTATGATAATTTAATAAAAAAAATATCGTGAATTGATTCACAAAATTTATACCATTTGAAAAGTTTCAAAACCATGTGTTTGACTATCGGAGTAAAATTTAGAAACGGAGACAGACCAAAATTTTCTAGTGGATCCATAAACTCATAAAGTCACTATCCAAGTTCTTTATGCCAAGTTTATTGAAACTTCTTTTGTCTTAAACAAAATTGGATCCAATATTAATCCAATTATGTTATTGGCGGAGTCTTTTGCCAAGTTTATTGAAAAATTTCTCATTGAATATTATGAAGATGAAATGATTTCGTTTCAAGCATACTTCATTCATTTCAAATACTTGGGATAACATAAGAGTTTCTTCTTTTCCACCATTGGACTTAACCAAGGAAGGATACATAATATATAAACAAACAAAATAAACAGCGCAGATAGATGCCTTTTTAACTATACAATCTGCACATTGATTTATTTCTTTTACAATGTAGACAAAGGTTGGCTTTAATGATCCTATTATGTGTGCCAAAATCTCACTTGTGAATCCATTGTGTAGGATCCGTGACTGCCATCATCAAAATCTTGGAGTCTCTTTCAAAAGTAACACCTGAGATATTGTAGTTTGAGATATCCTAAATTTTTCGAAGTAATGTAAATCGAAAAATTAGATATCCGGCATAAACAAATCGAATCACAAATACTGTATTTTTTCGAATATCCGCTCCAGCCCTCAGCCCTATTCTAAATGGTCAGTCTTTCGATAATACTGACCCAGCGACTCTATCTATTAGTCTCGAGAACTGTTCGCCAATACTCAATAGTGCCGAGTTAAACTCCTCAATGGTCTTAAAACCAATTATGTTTCATATGCCATTTTGAAATTTCTAAGAAGTGAAACAAGTGGTCCTCTTTCTGCATTTTTTTCCTATAAATTTTATTGATGATGTGATAATCAAAATTTCCAGCATGAAGTTGTTTTTAAGTTTGTTATTATTTTAACAGGTAAATCTGGAAAATAAAAAAATCGAAAGATAATAAATAAACCAAGGCTTAAATCCTATCTAATATAACTTGATGAAGACACAAAAATGCCAAGATAAAAAAAACACAAAAAACCAAAACAAAACTCTTTGATATGAAGCTGTGTGACGAAATGCATCTTGAAGAAAATCGTTTCTTTCTTCTCCATTTCTGTCTCTCTCTGTATCTTAAGGCAAGAAGATCCACACAACCATCCTCATCTTCTAATTTAGATATTCAGCCTAAGGAGATTCAATAAACCAAAAGGTGAATCAATTACTATAATCTTACTATCCTAAATGAAAAGGCCAAGCAAGTACCAATTTTGTACCTCTTCATAGGTCTATTGAGACTCTCAAGCCATCGTGTGCGAGTTTTACCGGAATCCCTTCCCTAACAAACCAAACATTGCAACAAATAAGATTACTCCTCTCTTTCTACGTATGGATTCTTCAGATAGATAGATGATGTAATTGAGAGTTTCCACCTTATAGACCACTCTTCAAGAAACTCGTTGTCCTTGTGGTGATCAAACTCGTGGGTCATTCCGATTAGAAGAGCCCTTTTCGGACTCAGTCTTTTGATTGTGTCTAGTGTCTACAAGGAAACAAAAGTAAGCACACAAAAACCATTTAAAAAAATAAAATCAACACCTTCAAGTTAAGCTAACCTGCGGGAAACATAAGTGGGTGTTGTGGGATCCTGTCTGCAATCACAATAAAGAGTGTGAAACATCAGCTTACACAGTAAACATAAAACTTGAAGTTTAATGCTTAAGGATGATGATCTGTGTTACCTTATATAATGTATCCAAGATAAGGAGATCCAATTGTCCACCACCAGATTTCGATATAACTGTATATATAAAAGCAATGAAATTCTGATACATCTTCTTCGAGTATATCAGAACATAAAACATACTAATCGATTTGTTACTCTTACCGTACTCAGTGTTTGGAGGAAAGCGTGATACATCGGATATATACGCCACTCTTGATTTTTCACCAAAAAGGAAACCAAGACAGACATAGTCTTCTCCATGCATCACCTACATAGCACAAATACAAGCAATAAGATTTGAGTCTCCACATAGATTAGCATGGAGACATGATTCACTATTTCTGCAGGAGGCTTTCAGAAACTCACTGGAAGTGGTGTGAATGATAAGCCTGAAGCTACAAATGGCTTCTCACAATCTTCTTCAATTACTCTCCAATCCAGCTGTGCTACTCGCCTAACTTCTTGGCCTTCTTTAAGTTTCTTCTGAACCAAATACGGGAACTTCACAGCAAGACTGTTTTCAGAAAAGCACGTGATTGTCTCGAAATTACAGCTTCAAAGTCTAAAAGGTCAAAACTGAAAGATCATGTAAATGTTATTACCTGTCCATAGCATATTGGCTTACGAAAATTGGTGTAGGATCAATATCATTGGTAGGACTAAATGGTTGCACGGAACGTATATCATCCAGGCCAAGTACTGCATCAGCATGTTCATGAGTCAAAATTATCTGCAGTTCATACAAAAATTAGTCTTGATAAGCATTAACAGCCTCGGTTCCAGATAAGAAAACTCGAGAATTACAATCCAAGATTTACAATTTAGTTCATCTTAGCTTTCCTCCTACACATCTCAGGCATGTTGATACAGAATCAATGGAGAGTCATCAAACAGGCATAATGTAGACAAGATAAAACGGTTTCATCACGACTTACGGAGTCAACTTGAGGAATCTTGTGAAGAGTAAACCAACGAAGGACTTGTTCCCTGAATGTCTTCCCAACATCGATTTGAATGTATTTATGTTTGCCATCAATTTGACAATAATCAATAAGCAGTGAAGTGTTTCCTCTGCCAAAAGAACAATATCTAATTAGAATCTACAAGAAAACTCAGCTATAAGATTGATCAGAATCAAGCACCACACACAATCTTAAAGGCTTAGTTGAATGATTCAACTCGACCATGTATACATACACAAAACTAGATTAGTTGAATCAGCTACACAGCTTAAAGGAACAAAACTCTCTGATCCCAAATCCTTTACAAAAACCCCAATCTCAATCTCACTCGAAATCAGAAAAAAATTAGTTCAATGACATAGAAATTCCACTCAAAATTTTCCGATTCATCATAGACTAACTGCAAACAAAACCCCTAAATACTATCAAGTCTACTACACTCGAAATCCCTTGGAAACTTCGTACTCGCATTGAATCACCATCACCATCAGAGAACACGAGAATGTACCTGTAATTAGGGTTTTGCTCCGGCGGGATCGAAAGAGACTGAGAACAAACATAGCAAGGAGTATCAGATTGCTGGATCAAGCACATTGCGTTAGGAACCGCGCTCGAACAACCCGTTCCGAGGAATATCAGAGCCGATCCATCACGATCAGAAGAAACGGTGCCGTTCTCAGTCGGAATCGAACCGTCCATCATCGGCGATATCAGAATCTGTCTCCGTGAAATTGTGGAATATTCCGGCGAAGAAGGAATCTCGAGCCTGAAAGTAAAAGAGGTAACAGAAGAAAGAATGATGTTGATGACGCAAAGGTACGAAATAAATACCAACGGTTTCTCTTTATTGGGTTTGCCACGTGGCGTAATCTTAACGGTTCCTAAATACAACTCCTTGAAGGAATCCGTGAATGTTAAATTTTTGTTCCTATTAAACAAAACTTAGCAATTTTTTAGTAGTACTTATTTCCAGGCGGAAGAGAGAAAAAAAAAAAAATTAAACTTGAAACAATGACGAAGATGTCGAATCTTCCAATGGATTTGGCGGATTTGGCGGAGGAGATGCTGCATAGAATTCCATTGACATCTCTTAGAAAAGTCCGTTCAACTTGCAAAAAGTGGAACATTTTATCGTCGAAAAATAGGAGATTTGCAAAGAAACACTTTGGTGGTCAAGCAAAAGTAGCAAAGGAGTTTATGGCGGTCATGATGATGAATTTTAGGGTTTATTTGATGAGCATCAACCTGAACGTTGAATCATCGTGTATAAATCATCAAGCTAAACTTATTAGCAGCCTAGACGATTCAGATCATTAACATGAAATCAATACCAAGATGAATACAAGCATACGCAAGCATTGCTTGTTGGGAAAAGGCTTGGCTCACATAAATTTTAGGATATGGAAAAATTAGTAAATTGACCATGTAAATGATTGATTGATCAAATTCCAGTAAATGCCCTACTTGACACTTTACATTGACCACACACTGTCAAATAGCTTATTACAGAAGATAATGCTTAGAAGAACATCTCAGAGAAATAGAGACTAAAGCGTGTTGTCAAGCCAAGTAAAGTGGGATTGACATACCTCATCAGGCCTGCTGTAAAGAAATATATGAGGTTTAATGGCTAAGAATCCAGTTTTGATGATCCTCGGAAGAGCATTGTCAAAGCAGCAATGGTCATTAGATTCACCAAGCGCGTTCATAAAAAAATCATCTCCAAGAGCAACTATTCATTTGCTTTGTCGTTCTTTTATTACTAACCTTTGCAGTTTGTTCTCCTCACAATACTTTGCTGCTTCGAGCATATCAGCGAGACTCCTTTCAAAAACACCACTGAAAGGAATCATAGTATCACCACCATGTTCTTGAACCCTACATGACAACAAAATAATAGTTTGTTTAGAAGAAGTACACCAAGGGAAGTAAATGCATCAGCACATCGCTGTAGAAGAAATTTTTGCAGCAAAAGAGGGCCAAAAATGTTTACTAATTATTCGACATAGTTTGTGAAGGGATATATGAAAGTACCAAGCATGAATCTTTGGCAAAAACTTGTTTTTCTTCCTCTGGTAGTCTCTCTCTCATCCATTTTAATCTGTAATTAAAATTTGAGAGCAATCAGTGATCACAAAAAGTTTCAAACAACATGCCTTTGTAAATACTTAGCAAAAAAAACATGCATTTGTAATTCTTACGTTGAGATGAAATATTTAGTTGATATCTTCCCTATGATAATTCTTCCTCATCTTCCTCTTGGTCCTCTACTTACCCGTAATAATGAACGATTGCTCTATAGTTGATATCGTCCCTATGATAAGTCCTTCGGTGGATTGTTCCACCACCAGGAAAAGTATGTTGTGCCTCTGTGAAGTTAAGGTCTCCATCACCACCAGGCTGGATCGGTAAACAATCTTCCCAATACATCCAAATTTGACATGGAAAAACTTAGATCCTTACTACTTTCCCGGAAATACAATTTCGCCTCCGGGCTTGTCCAACGTCAGTCCATTGAAGGCCATCCTTGTACCTAACACTCCGATAAACGAACAAACCCATCAAGTAGATTGGATGATTATTGCGAGACCTCGGTAAATGCTCCCAAACGTTGAACAGAGCTTGCACATCGTCGTAACTGAGCCATCCCTGACGCGATCAGTCGACGATTTCGTCAAATAATCCACCTAACTTCACATCCTCCAGATTTTGTAATATCATTTCTTCCGCCATTGCAATCTGAAAGAGAATGTTTCGAAAAAGAGAGAGAATGTTTTCATCTCGGAAGAAAAAAGAATCGGAAAGAGCGATAGAGAGATATAATTCTTTTTACTTAATATACTAATTTCATTAAAACAACAAGGACTAATTACACAAATGTCACGGGTTGATAACCATTATAGACACTTTTTCAAAAGTATTATAATTTATAGACACTTTCGAATATTGATGCACTTTAGCAAGGGTTTTTGTTCTTTTAAGACCAAAATACC